TCCATAGCAAAGGCCAAGCTTGTCACAATCATCATTAAGAAAATCACAACGACTGAAACGAATGCCACTGATTCCCATCAATTAATAGTAACTGGTCTGTTTTAATTTATCCTTTACATGTGAGGATTCGAGCACAAACATTAACCATCTCATTTTTGTAACAGGGTTAATATATGGAAGATAATTTATGGGAGTAACGTTTTGGATATATATTTACTCCATCATCAGGTATTTGTACCACTTCTAAATGCCTTTCAAAGACTTGAGTGTTAATATAGATTTTTCCAACCACGTTAATAATAAAGCTTGCACGATCATTGATGTCAAATTTGTAAATGGAAACTAGAAATATCTCCAAAGCCCGTAATGACAATATCATAGTGCATGATAGGTCATACCATATAACAAATGATATATTTGGGATAACACTTTCTTAGTAAAGTACAGATTCTAGTACTTTTTTAGGTCCCATCCGGGATTCGAACCCAGACTGCCAGAGTGAGGCACCTAATCGCCAGCCCACAAAGTCAGCGATCTAACCCACTCAGCCACCGAGGAGCCGTACCAATTTACACTTGTCAGAGGGGTACACATAGTACGTCATCTGGACTACCAGTTGTCGGGCTTTTATTTTTGAAGAAGCCTCGGTGGCTGAGTGGAGTGTCAACCAAGTGAAGTGACATTTCAAATCGGCCTGGACTCAATTTTTCAGGAGAAGCTATCTGAACGACCACTGCATCGGGTTTATGTGCAGTGTGTTGAGAAGATCAGCAACCCTGCAGAGTCCATCGCTTGAATGAGGTCGGCTGGCCTGAAAAGTGAAACAGAAGGCTTTCTGTTTGCTGCTCAGGACCAGCCACTCCCCACTCGAAACCGTCAATATGTAATTTTGCATCAAAATGTAAATATTAAATAGATTATGTTATGAATTTAATGAGAATGTCCAACACATTGTCAGTGGATGCCCAGCTTCGGCACAAACACGGTATCTTAAGCGACATGATGGAGTGGCTCGATCATTTTATTACCATCTTGTGATTTTGACGCAGAGGTCCATCCATGGTACGACCCGGAATATGTAGAGGGCGTCATGGAAAATGATAAATACAAAATCCTTTGGAATAGGCCCGTATACAGCCTCAGACGTATCCAAGCCAACAAGCCTGATCTTGTCCTTTTTGATAAATCCAATGAAATGATTTTTTATAATATTGAATTTTCTGTCCCTTTTGACACTAATGTGATTGACAGTTTCAGGAACAAAATGGCAAATATGCAGACCTCGCTTTTGAAATGTCACGCTTGCATCCCCAGTACCATGTTGTCCGACTCCCCATTGTTCTAGGTGCCTTAGGTTTGGTACCTCCCAATCTGTTGACTGACATTGGAAGAGTACCCGGGTTTGCTACCAGGAATACAGCCCTTCTGACAACCTGAGTAATGCAGAAGGCTGCAGTGTTGGGGAGTCTTAACATTCTCCGAAAAGTTTTGGGGGTTCGACTTGGCAACGATTTCTGGGAGAAGTCCCATTCGCTGTGTTGGCTGCGTGTTGAGGGGGCAAGGACTCTGAGCTGATGATGAGCCTAACCAGCCTGACTGTGCCAGAATCACCCAAACCCTCTTTGTGGCAGTTTTTATTTTAATCTGTAAATACTACTAGTAATAAAAATAATACCTATGTGTACATGACTGTCACATTCGCCACAGGTCGAGCCTCTTTAAATTCAACCTATTACTACACGAGACTACATAAATTCTTTCAAAATGAGCATTGTCAAGACACTAAAACAGTTCCTAAAATAAGCATATATCTATGAAAGTGTTTTCTCAACAAATATGTTTTAATTGTTGTTTTGCTTGAAAGAAACAAAATCAATATATCATGAACCTTACAACACCATCTTATGCCTAAACAACTAACTATTGATATAGTTCAAATTGCAATCTAGCATTGTAAAAAATGTGTTTCTTAGAAAATATACCATGTAACACCAACGCCAGATAGTATGTGGTCTCACGTATGTCTAGGGTCTTAGGCTACTTCAGGATACTGGAAACGCCCTGGTCGATGTTCAACTGCTCCTCAAGGATACGATTAGATTAGACGGAATACCTCGTGATGTTTTATTCTAGATTCCCCCTGATGATACGACGATTAGACGGAATATCTCGTGATGTTTTATTCTAGATTCCCCCTGATGATACTACTAGATTAGACGGAATATCTCGTGATGTCTTATTCCTGATTCCCCCTGATGATACGACTAGATTAGACGGAATATCTCGTGATGTCTTATTCCAGATTCTCCCTGATGATACGATTTGATTAGACGGAATACCTCATGATGTCTTATTCTAGATTCCCCCTGATGATACGATTTGATTAGACGGAATACCTCATGATGTCTTATTCCAGATTCTCCTTGATGATACGATTTGATTAGACGGAATACCTCATGATGTCTTATTCTAGATTCCCCCTGATGATACTAGATTAGACGGAATACCTCATGATGTCTTATTCCAGATTCTCCTTGATGATACGATTTGATTAGACGGAATACCTCATGATGTCTTATTCCAGATTCCCCATGATGATACTAGATTAGACGGAATACCTCATGATGTCTTATTCTAGATTCCCCCTGATGATACTAGATTAGACGGAATACCTCATGATGTCTTATTCCAGATTCTCCTTGATGATACGATTTGATTAGACGGAATACCTCATGATGTCTTATTCCAGATTCCCCCTGATGATACGACTAGATTAGACGGAATACCTCATGTTTTATTCCAGGTTACCCCGATGATACAAATAAAACATGTGTGAGAAAGTATTCAGCTTTGTGTCTTGTTATAAATATTATATTTATATGATATATATATGATTCTACCTTTCCAATTATAACTTGGTAGCGGGGTAGTCCAGTGGTTAAAGTGTTTATTGAAAGTGTCGAAACACGGAGAATTCCCCCGAGGACGATGTGGCAGGCTTTTTCCTGGAGCATCTTGTGATATTGCTGGAATAATTTTAAAAGCGCGTAAAACCATACTCTCTCTACACGAACAGATGGTGAAACCATACTCTCTACACGAACAGATGGTGAAACCATACTCTCTCTACACGAACAGATGGTGAAACCATACTCTCTCTACACGAACAGATGGTGAAACCATACTCTCTCTACACGAACAGATGGTGAAACCATACTCTCTCTTCACGAACAGATGGTGAAACCATACTCACTCTACACGAACAGATGGTGAAATCATACTCTCTCTACACGAACAGATGGTAAAACCATACTCTCTCTACACGAGCAGATGGTGAAACCTTACTCTCTCTACACGAACAGATGGTAAGACCTTACTCTCTCTACACGAGCAGATGGTGAAACCATACTCTCTCTACACGAACAGATGGTGAAACCATACTCTCTCTACACGAGCAGATGGTGAAACCATACTCTCTCTACACGAACAGATGGTGAAATCTCTCTACACGAACAGATGGTGAAACCATACTCTCTCTACACGAACAGATGGTGAAACCTTACTCTCTCTACACGAACAGATGGTGAAACCATACTCTCTCTACACGAACACATGGTAAATCCTAAGACGATGCGTAGCACATCTCAAGACTTCTAAGACAACTACGATTTCTTTTGTCAGCGGGTGTTATATAAAATCTCAAATTGTCCGATAATTAGATTTCACTTAATATCATATGTTCCTTTCTAGCTTACGTATTACGACATGGGGTCTCCTTTAAGACTAATCACAGTCGGGACCAATGTCAGTCCAACATCAGGTTACAAATGTAATTCCCACACTGCTTTGTCGCCTGTCTCCCTATTTACCACGTACACGGGGACATTAGCTACAAAGACACCACGTCTTAGTTTCACGTACGACATTAATTACTACGTAATTATCTAGTGAGTGAGTGGGTTGGGTTTCACGCCGTTTTGTACAGTATTCCAGTTATATCAGTATGTCAGCTTGATGTGGGGGGAAGTCTATATCTACACTGGCAAAGGAGGTCGACGTGATTAGAAAATCAATATTCCAGAGAAATTAATAGAATATTTAACACTTTATTTCAAGTCTTTGAAAGGCATTTAGAAGGGATACACATAAGGAAGAGAACTTATGGACATCAACTTCTTTATTATGAGGAACACAACGTTTCGGAGTATGCAGTAACGAAGAAGCAGTCTATACTACGAAACATTGTCTAACTCATAATAAAGAAGTTGACATTTATAAATTCTCCTCCTACCTTCATTTCAAGCGCTTTAAACTATATTGAAGAATTCATAATGATTTAAGGGCGACACGTATACCACATCTATTTATGTTAAATCGGACATCACACAGTCCAGGCAAGACGTGGTCTATGTTGGGGGAGGAAAACATGAATATGCATGAGATACTGACTTCATGCATATGCATGAGATACTGACTTCATGCATATGCATGAGGTACTGCCTATGTTGTAATCCTTCTTAGGTGATTGTCACACACATAAATACGTGTATTTGTTTTGCAAATAGCATGAATATAGTTGCAATGATTTGATCGATAAACACGTTAGTGTTTACAACATAATACCAACACCGTCCATCGGTCACACTGACATTTAAAGTTCGATCTTACACGCCACACCTTGATTGAACCCATTGTGTTACTATTTATACCGCTGATGGTTCACAATTAGGGTTATAGATCTTGTCTGTTCTAACACATCTTATAAACATTTTTAGGTAGATCATTGTACAACAAAAGCCAGTGTTAACGTCCTCTCAACGCGAAATACAGGCGTTGATCCTGTGAGCTACAAGCCAGGTATACGTGTTAAATGTCCCGTGGGATATCAGTAACACATTTCAGAAATAACTGCGTGGTTAAAACAGCGACCCCACCCTCCTCTGCCACCCCCCACCCCCACCCCATCCTCAAACCCATGTGTAACAGTAAACAGTACTCACCTGGCTAAAACATTACAGGTTCGAACTAGACAGAAATATCCCACTCCACCGCGTTAGTGTATCCGAGGTAATAGCAAACGAGGACTGTGTAACACAACACAACACAACGAAACACAAGTCCGCGGCATCCAATTGAGTCGTGAGTTGCTGCTATGTTTAGACGCCAGCTATTACTATGGCATCGTCATGTGTTATTATTCGTTGTATCAAGCCAACTCACACCACGTAATTCCCAGAAATCACCCAGTCGACCCCGACTCGATATTTACCGGGAAGTGAGTGGAAAAACCCATTGATACCTAAACTTAGCCAATGACGTAGCAGTATGTCGACGAGGAAGTCGGACCACGTTGAATAGGACCAGGATCTCTATCTACAGGCTGCGTAATAGGTACTAGCTGTGTTTTGTGGGCCCACTCACTCATGACTCAACGCATTATGTTTGAATACAGTTTTGTGCCTCGATATAACGAGGCTAAAATTACTCTTAATACTCCGGTTCAATGCCACAGCAACTCCACAGTTTAATATGACGCGGTACAACGGGGGTACATACACCGACTCTCTGAAATTCAATTCACTATATACATATTAAGGTGCTGGGATATTGAAAAGGTTTGTATGGACCTTGCGTGTCACTCAGTCGTTATACTGAATTGAGTTCACGGACCAGCTAACAAACACAATATTAGAAATACACATGACAGTGTCAATATTACCGATATGAAATATTATTTTTTTCATTGTCACGAGTGATAGCTAGATACAATGCTTTTAAACATCAGATACATATATAACGCCCTTGCATCACGGGATAAATTACGCAGCACATTATTAAAAGTGTTTCACGAAGAATATTCAACTTGATGAAAGCATAAAGATAAATAATTAGGCTAAAAAGTAACCTAATAATCTTGGTTCTCAGGCACCGCCCGCATCATCATAAAGTTCGGCAAACATTTCGTTTTTATTTCCATTTTAAAAAACAAATCCTTAAAAATTCTAAATCCAACGCTGGTCAAATACTGTATTCCAGTATTTTACTAATACATTTATGTAGGGAGGCCCTTTCCCAGGTTGATTGTACACAACTGTTTATTTGGTCACATACTAGTTTGAACAAGGCAAAAAAGAAAGACACCGCCCGCCCGCACTATATTTTCAAAGACCATTGCCTGAGAACCAATTCTTTTATTTTTTTTAAGCCTTAGAAATAAAATATTTTCCCTTTTTCAAAATGTGTGACGGGCCCAAGGACCTCTCCATATTCTGTGCGTGCCAGATCCTCAAATAGAGGTTGTAGGACCAAACAATATTTGTATTGCAGGCTGATATCATTATAATTGTGTTTAGGATACACATCTGTATTAGGCAGTATTTTAGAAGAAATGGATGCAATAAAGTGATACCTAAATTTGACGAGGGAATTGCTTTCTCGGAAAGTGAAAATAAATTATTAATGCAGCCTTCAGTCTAATGTATCATAGAAATAACATTTTCAATTGTAAAAAAGTAACTAAATAATATAGTATAACTATGTTTAACAACTAAATTTATCATTTAAAATTTTGAAGAAAATATTCATGAATTGAAAATTTTAAATATTCACGCCAGAATATTGGTAGGGTATGGGGTTGGGTGTGTGTGTGGCCGGTTTAAATCAGGCGAGGGCCACCAAAATATATGAAAAGTCTCGGGGGGAGGGTCTTAAAATAATTGATGTACATATTTCGGGAGGGTCATGATGAATTTATTAAACAAAAACAAAGTGCTTTTGCATTTTGTCTTTTCGGAGAGGGTCCCCAAAAAGTCTCGATTGTTCCCCGAAACAGATTCTATTGAGCGTGAAAAGCAAAATAGCTGAGAAAGTGTTACAAATGGATCACTGAAAATCAGGGATGACGCCAGGTGTAAATAAAGTAAATATGGAAAATATCAGGTGGGGACATGTCTGTGTAAACTAACGTTATTACTCACCGGTCACTGAATGCTGATAAATATAAAAAAAATAATCACGTATGATACTGAGGCAGTCATAGCATCCGTGGGTTGCTGATACCCCCGTCATCACGGGTCTTTCATCACTGATGTAAATGTAGTTAGCACAAGACTTGTTTAAATATTCGAAAAGAAAATACGTTATATATTTATTTATTTAATGTATGTATGTATGTATGTATGTATGTATGTATGTATGTATGTATGTATGTATGTATGTATGTATGTATGTATGTATGTATGTATGTATGTATGTATGTATGTATGTATGTATGTATTTATTTGCGACGTGCATGTACGTATGTTTGGCTGATTTTACTTGTCCGTTTTAATGCTAGCCCAATGAGATACCATGACGCAGTTTAACGATGTGGTGTCAATTTTCAAGCTGGGTCTTCCTTTTCTTTAACTGGTGATACCGTGAAACCAAGCATTAACTGCAATGAGGTCGGGTGAAATGGGTTTTAAAGTCGCGTCAAATGTCAAAACCCATGATTGCCGTAAAAAGGGACTATGCTTGTCGTTAGAGGCGACTAACGGGATTGGGTGGTCAGGCTCGCGCGCAAACACACACCAATACACTCTCTCGCACAGAGACACATACACACACCAACACACACACACACACACACACACACACACACACACACACACACACACACACACACACACCAGCGCTTTCTACACACCTAGCAGTATATTGTTTGTTTCATATTTTACATTACTTATTTTTGTAATCACGAGCATTCATTGTGATTTGTAAACCAGTTGTCGCTAATTGTTGTGTTGTGGTCGGTTGACTCATCCCTGCATGGTCAGCCACAGAGTCAACTATCGACCGCTACCCTGACATTGCCTCTGATCTCCCAGACTCTCTGTCTCCATCCTCCCCCAATTTAGCAACCCTTTACAGAAAACCAAACAAACCTTGCGAATTGTCGTAAAGGTGCCCCAATTCTTTTTTTAATTAATTGTATAACTGTTTTGAAGTTTTATTTTATATCCGTATTTGATCTTCTAGGCCTGTAAAAATACACACTTAAAAGAATAAAACAGCATTTAATTTGATATATATTGAGATAAATTGGTATTATAGTAGCATGCGGTGATTGACGTGATATTAGTGAAATATTGTTAAATCTCAATTAAGTGAGTGAATGAGTATGTTTTTACGCCGCCTTTAGCAATATATCAGCAATATCACGGCGGGGTACACCAGAAATGGGCATACATTGTACCCATGTGGGAAATCGAACCTTGGTCTTCGGCGTGAAGAGCGAACGCTTTAACCACTAGGCTACCCCGCCGACCCTCAATTAAGTCATAGAAATGAATTGCTACAAAGTATTTAGAAAAATGGGTTTTACCTTCACTATTTTGAAGCATTTGACTGTTGTTGAATGTCAGGAAAAGAGTTCAATGGAGATCTAGTGGTTTAAGGCGCCGCAATACAGCAGGTACATCCTTGAACTAGAATGATCCTTGCCTCGGAATATATTCGTCGGTAGTTTTTCCTTATACGTGAAAATACAACAGATGTGCTTTTCTAAGAAAATAACACATTATTCTGTCATAACGGGCCAGTCATTTATTAATATTCTAGAAACAGGAACACGCTGGTAGGCTAATCATTATGTTTATACAAAGAAAGAATAGAAGCATCCAGGAAGAGTGTCATGCGGGCGGAATTTACTCACTGACAAGGCGCGTAATCTCTCCGCCAGCGATCACATCCATACAAATACCGTTAGCGATGATAATGATTCAAAGGTTTTTACATTTTCTCTCAATTCTATACATATCCATATATGTTCTGACGAATCAAGTGTTTCAATGTAATAAGATACTGTCATAAAAAATAGCAACTTTCCGTGCGGCAAAGTTGCCACGTATTACAAAGGGACGTATTCTCCACCTACGTGGTAATTAATGATTAGTTTAAACGCTTTACTTGATGTGAAACATGCAATAAACTTGGAAATGACTAAAATTACTATAAACTATAGATAGCGGGAGGAGACGACGACGCTATGCTTGTTATTGTCTGTTTGAAGTCACTGAAAAGCTTGGCTGATGTCACGACAATCAGAATTGTTGTTGTTCAACGCCGCGCTCAGAAATATTCAGGCTATATGACGGCGGTCTGTAAATAGTTAAGTCTGGACCTGACAATCCGGTGATTGATATCATGACGCAGTTTAACTATGTTGTGTCAATTTTCAAGCTGGGTCTTCTTTTTCTTTAACTGGTGATACCGTGAAACCAAGCATTAACTGACAATGAGGTCGGGTGAAATGGGTTTTAAAGTCGCGTCAAATGTCAAAACCCATGCTTGCCGTAAAAAGGGACTATGCTTGTCGTTCGAGGCGACTAACGGGATTGGGTGGTCAGGTTCGCGCGCAAACACACACCAATACACTCACACTCACACACACACACACACACACACACACACACACACACACACACACACACACACACACACACACACCAGCGCTTTCTACACCTCTAGCAGTATATTCGCTGCTCTTTCATATTTTACATTACTTCTTTTTTGTAATCACGAGCATTCATTGTGATTTGTAAACCAGTTGTCGCTAATTGTTGTGTTGTGGTCGTTTGACCCATCCCTGGTCAGCGACAGTCAACTATCGACCGCTACCCTGACATTGCCCCTGATCTCCCAGACTCTCTGTCTCCATCCTCCCCCAATTTAGCAACACTTTACAGAAAACCAAACAAACTTTGCGAACTGTCGTAAAGGTGCCCCAATTCTTTTTTTAATTAATTGTATAACTGTTTTGGAGTTTTATTTTATATCCGTATTTGATCTTCTAGGCCTGTAAAAATACACACTTAAAAGAATAAAACAGCATTTAATTTGATATATATTGAGATAAATTGGTATTATAGTAGCATGCGGTGATTGACGTGATATTAGTGAAATATTGTTAAATCTCAATTAAGTGAGTGAATGAGTATGTTTTTACGCCGCCTTTAGCAATATATCAGCAATATCACGGCGGGGTACACAAGAAATGGGCATACATTGTACCCATGTGGGAAATCGAACCTTGGTCTTCGGCGTGAAGAGCGAACGCTTTAACCACTAGGCTACCCCACCGACCCTCAATTAAGTCATAGAAATGAATTACTACAAAGTATTTAGGAAAATGGGTTTTACCTTCACTATTTTGAAGTATTTGACTGTTGTTGAATGTCAGGAAAAGAGTTCAATGGAGATCTAGTGGTTTAAGGCGCCGCAATACAGCGGGTACATCCTTGAACTAGAATGATC